CCCGGAGGAAAGGGTTTTGAATTAGGTGGGTTACCCCTTCCAAAAACAAAAACAAAAACAAAAACAAAAACAAAAAGATTTCAATTCAATACAATTACAGAAGCTCGTGTGCAAGATATGGGAACCTAGATGTCATCTAGAAAGGTAGGCTGAAGGACAATTGTGGTTTTGTTTTGTGTTTTAAGGGTGTAGCTGATGCTTTCTCTGATCTCAGCAAAGAATCTGTTGTCTTGATGAATAATCAACAGCTGATCTCCAGTAAATAAACATAATTCTTAAAAAATTTTTAAAGACATAATCACCCAAAATAATCTGTTGCTACTATCTCTAAATTTTGCTTTTGAAACTTGTGAGATTTTTTTAAAGGTTCTTCTTTTTTAATCTTGAAAATGAGACAATAAAACAGCTCCTAAAAGAATTCACAGGCATTTGCAACGAAGTGTGCTGGGGGCAGAGCACTACAGAGGCCTTGGACAGGAAGGATGGAGCCTCCCGCTGGTAGTTTAGGAACAGCAGGGAGAGGGAATCTTTAGTCACAAAACAGGAGGGGGAGCGAGTTCATGTTGCTGTTTCTCCATAGAGAGATGAAATGCCTGGCCCTGCGTGGGGTGGTTGCCCAGAGGGTGAAAGAAGTCCCAGTGAGGGGAGGGGCCCAAAAGGCCAGGCAGGGTGACAGCCTAGTGGGTAGAGGAAGGGTTGTGGTGGCTGCTGCTGGAGGCCAATCAACTCTGTCTTACTCCCCTGCCCACCAAGCTGTTGCTCACATAAGCCACTCCAACAAGTGAGCTGTGTCTTCTGCTGCCCGAGCTGGCCACGGTCTCAGTCCCCACCATTCCATGCCCCCTCAGGCCTACCACTGGGTGGGCCTCTCCACTGCACCGATGGGGCTGCAGCCTGCACAGTGCCTGTCACAGACAAGGGTGGCTGGGGGTATGTCGGGTGGAGCCCAGGGCTTGTTAATGCCCGGAAGACTCTTCAGTGACAGCAGACATTGAGCTAAAAAGCATGAGGCTCCCCATGCCCTTATCTAAGGTCAGAAAACAAGTCAGTGATTACTCTGCCACCATTCTTTCCATGGTGAAAGAAACTGTGTTCTAAGTGCAGAGAAATAACATCGTGCTATTGTCATGTTTCAAAATCCATCTTCAAGGTCAGCACTGGTCAATGAGAATAACTGTGACTGGAAACACAAAGGCTTTCCATGAAAAGAAATGAGCTGTCACATGCACACACAAAGGCTTTCCATGAAAAGAAATGAGCTGTCACATGCACACATAAAGCATATGTGCCATTACTAGAACTGAGACAAAGGCTAACAAGAAAAACCGCAAACGTTCAAGGATATGCAACAATGACTATAGAATGCTAAGAGAGAGCACTGGCTTGATCTTCTTAAAAGGATAAAATTATGTGTCTGATATTCAACCAAGCATAATGATGTATGGCTATCTTTACTCCTGGTAGGACAAATGAAACTAATGAGGAACAGCGCATTCGACAATAAACACAAGGAGATGGTTCCTGGACACAAGGCAGAATCAACACATGTACAGACGGCACCATGAACAAGTACGCAAGTTACCTTTTTTCTACCTACCCCTCTAACCATCTTTATAGGTAAGTCACTATGCCCATGAGACCGTGAATCTCACATGTATTTTTGACTGAATTGTTTATAATGACAAGGGTCCCCACATAAATACATGCCAGTCTTGTCACTGGGCATGTGGCCTGGCTCTGACTGGACTGTGGAAGGCTGACTGGGTGTTGATGGTGGGTCTGCTGGCATTGGTGGTGGAACCAGAGATGCAGATGCTGTCACTAGGGGTCTGACTGTAGTGGACCTAGTTACTGGGAGTTGCCATCCCAGTTCTGGATCAGCCAGCAACCCTGCTGCAGCTGAAACCTCCTGGGCAGTTGTCTCCCCTGCCCATCTCCCTGTGCCTCGGCTTAGCCCCTTGGTCTCCGTCTCAACTGTCCCCAGCCTTCCCTGTATGCCCAAGGAGTCCCCAGGGAATGGAAATGACAACTAGGGAGAGGAGGGAACTTCTTGTAGTGCCACATGAACAAAACTTATTTCTGTAGGTGCAGTCAAACTCTGAAGGCTTTCTGAGGAGATGGACTACAGAGCTATGGAGAGGTATTCTTACCTTATAGGGCATAGATTCAAAGAAGATGGATGTAGCAGAGATTTTCTTCTTGTCTGTCATAAACCCATGGGTCAGGTGGCCTCCATCGGGCAAGTCCAGGCCCATGATGCGCCCATGGGGTTCTACCAGGGCAGTGTATACTGCAAAGTTGGCAGGGGAACCTGGAATAGACAGACCGGAGGAGGTACAATTGTTTCTGTCCATGAGGCATCAATCAGGACCCCAAGCTTGGACACTAGGCCATCAACTAGAAGTGGCCAGAACTGGCCTGGTTGCCATTACACATTTCCTGAGCTCCAAGGATCCCCAGCACCAATCCCCCTGAAAGTAAGGGAAAGGGGACATTCAGAGATAGGGCATTGCCCAGGACGGGCGAGCACAACTGGGAGCCAAGGGCGATGGAAAAAGATGCACACATCCAGGAGGGGCTTAGCTTATTTTTAACCTTCATTACTGGGCAGTCCTAGGACACCTCTCTGTGAATGTCGGATGCCCTAGGAGCCTGGCTCCAGAACTGTCTAGATGTGGTAATTACCTGAATAGGGCTGGACGTTGACCCCCCAGCACTGGGGGTCCAGGTCATAGACCTGCAGCGCTCGCTTCTGACAGAGTATCTCCAGCTCATCAATAAATTCAGTCCCGCCATAATACCTGTGTGAGGAAAGCAGAAGACTTAGGCCCATTCTGGCCCTGAACCTCTATGCTTAGTATAGAGGCCAAAGAAGCTCAAGTGTGGGACAGAAGAACAAAAATGGAGACCTGGTGAGAACTCTTGACTCATCTTCCATCAGTGCCAAGCTGTGTCACATTAAGCAAGTGTCTCCTCTCTATAAAGAAATTCTGATGTAAGCTACATGGATGAACCTTGAGGACGTTAGCATCATGCTAAGCGAAATAAGCCAGTTACAACTGTATGGTTCTTCTATGAGGTACCAAGAGTAGTTGGATTCATAGGGACAGAATGTGGAATGGTGGTTACCAGGGGCTGGGGGAGGGAGAGGTAGAGTGTTATTGATTTTTTATATTTCTAATAAAATTTTACTTTTCATTTAATAATTACATATCAAAATTTATCACATATTTGTGTTTTTTATCTGTAATATACTAATAATTATAATAACTCAATCCAGAAAAAGTTTTTAACGCTTAAGTCTTATGGTCACAAAAAAGCTTTAAAAATTTTAGATTAAATGTATGTACATTTCTGATTATAGTAAAAACACACAACATAAAATTTCCTACCTTAACAATTTTAAAGCCTACATTACAGTAGTGCTAAGTACCTCATTCATTGTTGTGCAACAGACCTCTAGAATTTTTTCATCTTGCAAAACTGAAACTCTAGACCCATCAAATAACTTTCCATTTCTCCCTCTTCCTAGTCCCTAGTAACCATCATTCTACTTGCCAATTCTATGATTTGACTACTCCAGATACCTCACATAAGTGGAATCATATGGTATTTGTCTTTTTGTGACTTGTTTATTTCATTTGGCATAATGTCCTCAAGGTTCATCCTTGTTGTAGCATGTCACAGGATTCCCTTCTTTTTTACGGCTGAAGGACCTTCTGTTATTTGGCTATACTACATTTTGCTTATCCATTCATCCATCAATGGACACTTACGCTGCTCTTACCTGTTGGCTATTGTGAATAATGTGCTATGAACACAGGTATACAAATATCTGTTTGAGGTGTTGCTTTCAATTCTATTGAATATATACCCAGAAGTAGAATTGCTAGCTCATGTGGTAATTTTATTTTAAATTTTTTGAGGAACCTCTATACTGTTTTCCATAGTGGCTGCACCATTTTACATTCCTACCAACAGTGCACCTGGGTTACAACTTCTCCACATCCTCACCAACACTTGTTTTCTTTTCTTTTCTTTTTTTTTTTTCTTTTTGATAGTAGCCATCTTAATGCATGTGAGGTGATAGCTCTTGGCTGGAGTTGTTAATGGGTACAGACTGTTGTTTCTGCAAAATGAAAAAGTTCTGGAGATGGATGGTAGTGATAGTGGCACCATATTGTGGATGTACTTAATGCCACTGAACTGTACAATTACAAATGGAAAATTTTGTTATGCATATTTTACCACAGTAAAGAAAAGAAGGGGAATGAGGAATTTTTACTCACAACATTTCTGATGCCAAATGTATGCGGTTTTTTTCCTCACACCAACCAATTCTGACACCAACCGACTATCCTGCAATTCAATTCAATTCTGGCCTGATTACCCAGAGTTAGTATCAGACCCCTCAGGTTAAGGGCTCGGTCCCACAGGATGCCTTCACTTCAGAGGCCAGTCACAAGTATCAAGTCCCCAGGTTACCCACATTTCTGACAAACTCGGGAATTCCCACAACACCCCCTCAGGTTTGATAATTCACTAGAATGACTCATGAAACTCAGGAAAGCACTTTACTTACTCTTACTGGTTTATTATAAAGGTTTATTACAACTCAGAAACAGCCAAATGGAAGAGATGCATGGGGCAAGGTATGGAGAATGGGGCTCAGAACTGGGAAGCTCTCCAAACCTCACTGTTGAGGGTTTTTAAGGAGATTTCATTATGAGGTGTAATTGATCAAATCATTGGTGATTAACTCAGTCTCCAGTCCTCTAATCATGCCTTGATCTTTCTGGCCACCAGCCCCCATCCTGAAGCTTACTAGGGGCCTACCAAGAGTCACCTCTATAACATAAACTCAGGTATGCTCAAAAGGGCTCATTATGACTAATAAAAGACATTCCTATCACCATAGATTCCTAGAGTTTTAGGAGCTCAAGTGAAAGAAACCAGGGACAAAGACCAGATATTTATTTTTTTATCACACCAAAGTTTGAAAACATCTGGATTCAAGTCCCAGCTCTGCTACCTGTGTGCAAACTTGAGAAGTCACTGAATTTTAGTGAGTCTCAGCTTCCATCACTTTTTCCTATTGGGCAGCCATGAGGATCAAATGAGATATTAGTTGTGAAAACAATGCAAAAGTTAGTTATTCACAGCAGGAGAAAGACAATGCTCTCAACTTGGTTTTCAGCCCTTCTACAGAGAGATTCAGGGTATCTCAGGGTAGAATGCCAGTTCGGCTCCAAGGGTGATCTCTTATTTCTCTGTGTCCTTTGGGACACAAATGTACAAATTTGCAAAAATCGTGTCAGATTCTGTAATCATCACCTTTGCCTGATGATGACTGTAAAAAACAAATGAATATAACGTCTTGTGGTTCTCAGGGTTAAGGAGTTGACTGAAATTGTCGCATACGTAAATCCAACATTTATAATGCGGAAATGGTTTCCAGTGCAACAGATTCAGTTTTAACTTTCGGGTCTCTCCTGATACCGATTCGACTACTCATACAGCAACAACCACCTTTCACAGCATCACTCAGAGTACTTATTTTTTTTATTTTTATTTTTTAGGCGAGGCAACCCTTGGTGGACCTCACAGATTACAAGAACCTTGTCAGCTTACAATCCCTTATTTTTTATTTTTGGTCTTCGTAGGTGGTCTCCCATCCAAGTACTAACCAGGCCCGACCCTACTTAGCTTCCAAGATCAGACGGGATCGGGCTTGTTCAGGGTGGCATGGCCATAGACTCAGAGTACTTATTGACCTTTTTCTAGAGGCTCGATGACAGTCCAGCAGCTCCATTCTCCTCATGAACTGGCCTGTTATTCTAAAAAGCCCCCAAAGAGATTGGTTAAGTGACCCTGAGTATATCTGCTTCTTGGACATCAGTGCTATCAAACACCGGGCATTGTAAAAGACTTATGTCAGAGCAGAGTGGAATAGAAATCCCCGCGTGGTTTGGATTCTATAGTGATTCAGTACCTTGCATCACTATGTCAGAAGCATGCCTTTGATGACATTCACATACCTCTGGCCTGGGTACCCCTCAGAATACTTGTTATTTAAGCAAGAGCCCAGGGCCTCCAAAACTGCTCGGCTAGCGAAATTTTCTGAGGCAATCAGCTCCAATCCAACCTTCTGGCGGTTACTCTCCTTCTTAATGATATTGTAAACCTGATGAAAAGAAAACAGATGCTAGATATTCAAACCTTTTAGTTTAACCTTTTTGCTTTGATCAAAGCAATAACCTAGTAAAGGGAAGAGCCAATTTGGCATATTATAGAGCCATATTTTGCCCTCAGAAGCTGACCATAACTCAACCAAACTCAGAAGACTCCCATAGCACTTAAGGATTAGAGGAGATCTTCCTCAAAGATTTTGCCATTTGGAAAGGAATAGAAGACAATGAATTAAGGAAAACTAAGTGATTGAAGAGAAAACGATCTTTAAGTATCTCATCTAATTTTTACTTTTACACCATCTTGTTATTTTTATCCCTACATTTCAGCAAGTTTTTCTTTTCCTGAATCTTATTCCTTGCTTCTCTTCCTTAAAATAAAAGATGCTTAGATAAATCCATTGAGACAGAAGGTAGACCAGTGGTTGCCTAGAGTTGGGGAGTTTGGCGGGGAGTTTGGCAGGGCCTGGGGATAACTGCTAATGGGTTGAAGGCTTCCTATTGGGAGGATAAAAATGCCCTCAAATTGACTGTGAAAACACTAAAAAACACTGAATTGTGCACTTTAAATAGATGACTTGTATGGTCATACATGCGAATGATACCACGTGTATAAGACTGCTATAAAAAAATACATAAATAAAAGATGTTTCTCAGTGTCTGGATGTACTCCTTCAAACTATAAGGAAGGGGTCAAACCTCAGTGATCCTTCTCCCTCCCTTTTCCTCCAGAGCAGCCAGCACAGTGCTCTGCACTTTGTAGAAACTCAGAAATATTTAAATTTACCCTGGAAGGTCTTTTAGCTCGTTAGCAGCTTCTGCCTCTAAACCTGGCTCTCTTATACTAATTGCAAGGCTGTTCCAAATGAAGTTTATTTATGATTAGAACTAGAGAGTAAACAAGAGACTCTGATTTAGGAACACCTATGAAGACTCCATAAACCTTACCTCAATGTCGCTGTCTTTTAGGGGCTGTGCCAGCATTTTATCATGAGAGGCCCACAGGTCAGCATCCTTGTGCGCCCCGTTGACTGGAGTCGCCATTGCACTGGTTCAAAGTTGCCTAAAAAATGGAATAACTTCTAATATTAAATTTAGTTAAAGCTCATCTCAACCTTAGTTGTCTGAATTGCTAAAGTACTGACACTTTTTTAGCCTTTCCCTCAGAATTGCTTGGTAAACGAAGATATTCTATTGCAAAACCACTGTGTGGAACTTCCAGTTCCTTTCTGAACTGTGTATGTCAGCTTGTTATCCTGTTAGTAATGAGAACTATCCCTGCTCCCTATGAAGCAGGCCCAAACTGACAGAGAGCCCTGTGCCGGCTCTTCTCAACTGAACTTTTCCTAGTTATGGCTTATCTCCCCAAAACTTCCTTGAAGCCAAGGACTGTATGTTACTTTTATTTTTTTGAATCTCCCACAGAATCCAGCACAGCCATACTGAAGTAATATTTGCCAAATGACTGAGCAAATGAGTTGCTGACTTAAGTGCGATTTTCCATTTTTCAAGTAATGAAAATGAGGCTCAGAGAAGTAAAGTATTTTGGACCATGGCTGCCCAGCAAGTTGGCCACGAAGGTCTGACTTGAAACCCCAAATCACATGCTCTAAGTACCACAGCAAGGTTCCTGTAGAAACTTCAAGTTAAAGCACTCACTTGCTTAAATACAAACCCTGCTGTAAGAATTACAGGTCAGACTTGTGTGTTTATATTTTTCATCAGAAAACTATCTCCCATTAAAATACTGAAAAATGTATGTTTCTTAACACATGTTTCTATAAAGAATGAGAGTTTGTGATCAGTGGCAGCTCTCCTAGTGTGAAAGTTTAAATTATTACAGGGACTAACCTCCCTTATTTAATAGTTGGCAGCCTTTCAGTACTTTTCTATTAACTTAGTAAGTTTTCTGCTAAAATTCATTAATTCAACGACTATTTATTGAAGACCTTCTCTTTGCCGGCCATGGCGTTGCTACTGAGAACACGGTGGTGAACATGATGGACTGAGCCCTGCATTCATGGGACTTCCCTCATGGGGAAGATGAACAGCAAACAAAACAAGTACTAAAAGCAGATGTATAAAATGAGGAAAGTACCAGGAAGGACAAGAGCTAGGTGCTGGGGTAAGCAGGGCCCACTCTGGACAGCTGCTCCAGGGGCCTGAGAAGAGGACATCTCTACTGATTGAGAGAGATCCTATCATGAAGAAAGAGCCTATTTTCCGATAGTACTGTGAAATAATAAGAAATATATATTGGTCTCTGCTAAAACCCTTGTGATTTCCTAAGTGATAAAAGAAGTAGGAACATCTTTTGTTCTCTGGGTGGGCCTAGTCACCAGAAAGAACAAGTCATGATTAGAAGCTTGAATTTTCAGTCCTACCCCACACTTCTCCAGAGGGGGGAGCAGGACTCGAAATAGAGCTAATAATTGACCATGCTTACAAGGGGAAGCCTTTGTAAAATCCTAATAGTATGGGGTTCAGGGAGCTTCCAGGTCAGTGAACACATCCACACCAGGAGGTGACCCATCCCAGCTCTACAGGGATAAAAGATCCTGTGCTCAGGACTCTCCCAGACCTTGCTCAATGTATCTATTCATCTGGCTGTTAATCTGTATCCTTTATCATGTCTTTAAAAAAAAACCTGGTAAACATAAATGTTTCCCTGAGTTCTGTGAGCTGCTCTAGTAAATGATGGAATCCAAGGAGGGGGTCATGAGAATTTCTGATTTGTAGCCGAGTTGGACAGAAGTTGTGGGTAACCTGTGGACCTACTACTTGTGATTGGCATCTGAAGGGGGGGGGGTAGTGTCTTATGAAGCTGTGTTAATATCAGAATTGAATTGATGTGTAGGACACCCAGCTAGCATCATAGAACTGATGTGTGGAAAATCCCTACATATCTGGTGTCAGAGGTGTTGTAAGTATGATAGTGGTGTGAGAATAAAGGAGAAACATAACAGGAAGGTTGCAGTTTTTCTATACACGTGTACACAGTATAATTTGCTGGACAAATATATCCATTAAATAAAATAGTCTAATAGTCTCAAATCACAGTGATCCTCCTTAATCTCTGGTAGAGCTACTAAAAAGAAACTAACAATAATCTTTAACCATGAAATTCCTAACTGGGGCTTTCAAAGCAGTTTTACCACGAGTACAACATGATTAGAAATGCAGTCACACCTGCAAAATGTAAAGTAAAGGTGGAAGCACTTGTACTTAAATGTGGCCACAGCAGTATCACCTTGCCAAGGGCAGGCAGGGAGCCTTAAAAGTGGCCAGCCACGTCTATGTTACTATCAGAGGAGGAGAGACAGACATGTAAATGGTGTGGACACCATGCCCACGGCTTCTTCATGCTGATGTCTGCACTCAAGAATGGCCAGTGCAACCCGTGGACTTCTGCATGGGCCAACAGGCATGGCCTCAGCAAATGGTAAGCCCATACACGAAAGCACTGGAGCCAAAATAGGCCTCCTGGTCTTAGAATCTCAAAGAGAAAACCTTCTTTTAAATATTCTAGTCAAGGTTAAAAAGGATTTGAAGGTGGCAAGCAGCACAGAGAAGATATTTCTCAACCGACAAATGACTAAATTGCATTCGGAACCTTCCTCCTCTGAGAACAAATAGATCTATAGTAACATCGTGAAAGGCATTCAGTTCCACTCTGCTCAGGAAAAAGAACAAAGCCTCTACCTTCATCTGTGGTCTTACTCATTTCACTTCAGCATAACAACCCTCTGCCTTTTACCCTGGTTGCAAATCTTTTCCTTATCCACCCCAATAATTTTGAGTCATAGTTACTTCTTAACCGCCGGGGTGAGTGTATGTGTGGCCACCTCTCCTTCCTTAGGCCATCAGTGCCACCCTGATCTCATTGCTCACCCACTTGAAGGAGTTTTCTTCCCAGCATCCTGTTACCACTCAGGATTAAGCCATCCCTCAAATGGAATACTTAATCCATATCCTCATTAAATCCATACCCTCCTTGAATCCAAATTAAGCTTTTTTTTCCTTAACCGGGAAGACATTTGAATTTCATTCAGAGTTTGAGATTCTTTGTCTTGTTTCAATTAAATCAATTACATCTATTATAGATATAATCTATCATATCTATTAAGCCAATTAACTCTATTATATCCAGGGGCATTCTGAATTACAATAAGACAAAGATCCTGATTGTGATGGTCAATTTATGTGTCACTTGACTGGGCTTAGGGATACCTAGATAGCTGGTAAAACAAATAAGAAAGATAAAAATTCTGAGACAGTATACTTTTTAAGATGCAGAGAGATCATCATTTTTAGCTAATAAAACATACTGAGCATCTTTTCTTGAGATCTGGATGTTGGCTGAAAAACAATGTATCTTTAACTTCTCTCACTTTTTTAAAACTGATAAAAACAACATAAAATGTATCATTTTAACAATTTTAAGTGCACAATTCAGTGGTATTAAATATATTCACATTGTTGTACAACCATCACCACCATTCAACTCCAGAAATTTTTCATCATCCCAAAATGAAACTCTGTGTACCCATTAAACAACACTCCATTCTCTCTCCCAGCCTGTGGTAGCAACTATTCTATTTTCTATCTCTACGAATTTGACTACGAATTTCAGGGACCTCATGTAAATGAAATCACACAATATTTTTCTTTTTGTGTCTGGCTTATTCCACATAGCATAATTTCTTTGAAGTTAATCCATGTTTTAACATGGGTCAGAATTTCCCTCCTTTTAAAGGCTGGATAATATTCCACTATACATATATGCCATATTTTATGTGCCCCTTCATCTATTGTTGACATTAAGTTGCTTCCACCTTTGGCTATTGTGAGTAAAGCTGCTGTGAACTTGGGTGTACAATTATCAAGTCCCTGCTTTCAAATTATTTTGGGTATATACCCAGAAGTAGAATTGCTGGATCATATAGTAATTCTATGTTTAATATAATCATATAGTAATTAATTCAAAATAAGATTTTGATATTTAAGAGCTCTGCTCCATCATCAACCTACAATGAATTCATTCATTCCTTCAACAAATATTTATTGAGCAACTCCTATGTCCCAGGCACTGAACTAGGAACTTAGACTAGAAGGGCCGACAAGACAGAGGTCCTGTTCTTAAGAGAAACACTACAAACAAGTAAACAAGAAACATACAAGATAATTTCTAGCAGTGATGAAGACAATACATGGGTGGGAGAGTTCTTCAGATGGGGCCTGGAACATGCCTGAGCTAAGAGCTCAACAGTGGAAAGGAGTCAAGCTTATAAGATCTGGGATAAGAGAGAATCATAAGAGAGAATAAACACCAAGCGGAGCAAACACCAGTGCAAAGGCCTTAACATGGGAAGTTTGATTTGTCAAGGGTCAGAAATCAGGCCCATGTGGCTGAAGCCTGAGGACTAAATCAGAGGCACCAGAGATGAGACTGACAGGCCCTAGGGTAAGAGCAGAGATGGGAGAACAGATTTTCACCTTGACAGTACATATTTTACAAGTTTCAACGGTGTTCTAGAAACCTCAGTCTTGGGCTATTTCTCAATCCAACTGTGAAATCTGATTGCTCTTGTTTCCTAACAGCGAAGTCCATACCTGAGAAAATGGTGCTGCAGCTCATCACAGAGCCAGCCTGCTGGGTTCCAATTCCATTCTCCACTACTTAATGTGCAACCCCAGTTATTGACACCTCTACGTCTCAGTCCTTTCAGTATAACACAGGGATGATGACAGTTCTGAAGCTGGTTGTCAGGATTAAATGACAAAGGGCACTCAGAACAGTGCCAGGCATAGAGTAGGTACTCAAAAATTATCAGCTATTATTGTTATTAAAGAAACATGAGGACCTTAGGGCCATTTTCATTACCATTCAGTAATCCCTACTGAGCATTCCAGAGGAACACAGCTCACTGCAGCCTGAACTGTCATTACAGTGTTGGATAGCTGCTGGGAAAATCGCTCACTTGTAGCATAATCCTTGCCTCAAATCCAGGGAAATAGACCTAGTACATGAATTCACCAAGGTCACCAGCCTCCCCATACCTCCAAATCTTCCCTGGGCCTTTGTCACCCAAGTGAACCAACCAGGGGTCTGCCAAGGGAACTACCCTGTTGAATGCCATCTGTCTGTCTCACATACAGATTTTGTGATCGCTACAGAGGAGGAAACAGGCTCAGAGAGCTAAGCAGTCTAAGGTCATATGAGTCAGAATCTGAACTTGTTTACTTCTGGTTCCAAAGCCCTTTTTCACAACACTGCTCTAAGTAAAAGCACAATTACCCACCTCCACTGCACGCTCCCTCAAGTAAGAAATTAAAAATATGATTCCATACGAGTTTAAACTGGTGTTTCCAGTCCTGCAACTGCCTGATTGATGTCACATGTTTGTGCTGGCCTCAGCTGACCAAAGTTCTCTTAACTTCCAGGACCTGGAAGCACAGGGCACCAGGCCAAGAAACCTACTACTGCGCAATGTTTCTCATAAAACAGGGGGTGACAGATTGCAGAAAACACGCGCAGCCCCTCCCTGCAGGGATCTGGTCGCACACTCCAAAAGCAGAGCGACCACATAAGTAGTGGTTGAAACCTTAGGCTTGGTTGATTTCCGGCGGTGCCATTTTGCTAGATGCAGGGTCGCGCCTAAGTCGGCTCTTCTCTCTGAGCCTCACCTTCCTCATCTGTAAAATGGGCTACTTGATAGCACTCAATCTGCAGCTTTGTTGTGAGGATACTGGAGCGAAGTGAAGGGCTGCACTTAAAATGCTCAACCAGGAAAGGGCTCAGTAGACAGAGGCAACTTGTATTAGCAGCAAGCCTTCGTATCTGTGTTAAGCTGAGGCCACCACCCCTACTGCACCGATCTGTGACCAGGGAACTAGCGGTCCGGGCTCCCCGCCGCCCGAACCCTCACCCCAAGCACTAACAAAGCGTTCCTCACATCATCCGGCCCACAGGGTGGGGGTGGGGGATGCGGCTAGGAGCTGACACTAAAGCGCCCTGCGAGTGCCACTGACACCAAGGCCCTGGGATCCGAAGCCGCCCACCTACCGAAACAGGATCCCGCGCACCAGCCTAGAGACACCTCGGCCCCACGTTGCTGCCCGCGCGACCAAAGTCCGAGACCCGTCAACCCGCGTTCGGCCGCGCACCCGCCACGTGACCCGCTGCGCGAGACTTTGAACGGTGAATTTGGCGCTAAGCGGCTGGCATATTCCACTCGTACCCGGCGCGCACCGCCCCGGGCCTGGCCCCGCCTCTCGAGGCGCCCAATCAGAGTGCGCCGGTGCTGGGGGCTGCCGCAGAGTGGTGGGCGGGGCTCGCCCCAGGCCGGGAAAGGCCTCATGGTGAGCTGCTCACTTAGGCCTAAGGACTGTGGGGCGGTCCGGATTTAGCTGCTGGCGGAAGGGCTAGGGAGCAGGATTTCCCGGAAGACAGCAGAGGGCTTGACCTAGTTAACTTGGGCAGGCCGTGGGATTGTGGGTGAACTTTGTTGCTTATATTTGACTTTTGCATTGTCCTACTTATAGTTTAATACAGTGGTTATTTAAATAGGACAGATGTGGGTTCAAACTCTGAAACTATTACTCTGTACATATGGAATCCTGTACGTCACTTTATTTTTGAGTTTCATATTGCTCATCTTTGAACTGAAAATAATTATATCTGCCTGGCATGGCTGTCGGGATGAACAGATGTATCTAACACAATTAACATTGTGCTTGACGCACAATAAGGGCTCAATAAATATTAGCCATTGATAAAAATAATAAAAACGAAGGGGCTACATAATAGAGGGAAAAGAGCTGACAAGGAATACATTCTACTCAGGCTCCCCTGAACTCTTTTTCAACTAAGACTGCCTTTTAGACTTCTGTGGTTGGCTCTGCATTGTCCAATTTTAGCAAAGATGTTGCAAAGTCAGTATGACAAGAACTCCTACCCTCCATATCTGGTTGGATTCCTCATCCTTCACCATCTGGGTGAGGTCTGATCACCCTGGCCTGGTTAGTGTAGCCAAAATTCCCCTTCCCCTTGATTTTTTCTCCTAGTAATTTTCCATGCACTGACTCCTACCCTGCTCCTTGGCTATAAATTCTAACTTGCCCATGCCATATTCAAAATTGAGCCAAACCTCTCGCCCACGGAAAGGTTCCATCTCAGTGGTCCCAATACCTATCGAAATAGTCCCCCCTTGAATAAAGTCTTCTTTATAATGCTATTGAATAATTTGTTCTTCAACAGCTCCTAATATTTCAGTCCTCAGTGTATCTAGGACACTTAACCTCCTTCAATGTCAAGCAATTTCATCTTTGTAACAAATTTTGTAACAAATGTGGCTAATGTGACGGTTAATAAATGGATTCAAAACTGATTCAAAAAAGTCCAAGGAAAGGCAGTGAGAGAGTAAGGATCCATAAGAAGTCTGAGAGGAAGCACTGTTATTTCCAGGTGAGTCAAGCACAATAACACACATACTCAGAATGATTTTGTCAAATAGCTTTTTTGCCTAGTGACTCTTTTCCCCTCTAGCTCTCCCGAAACCCCCTCCCTCCCACTGTGGATTTTTAGAACTTAGAGCATCAAGCAGGAGGTAAGATTATAAAGACAAACACAAATTTAAAATAAGAGGTTTAATTCTCCCAGTTTAAAATAGATTTACCTCTGCTTCCTTTTCTTTGACCATGTTGATTTAAGAATATCCAAACCTGTAGAGAATTTTTATAAGAACTTATTTTAGCCAAAACTGATGACAAATTCTCCAGAGAATGACAGTTTGGAGTTTCTTTTACGCATTTGGAATTAAGAAGGGAATATAAGAAAGATTAAAAGAAGGTGGAAGAAAGCAAGGTATGGATTCGATTACAGGAGAGTTAACAAGAGTATGTGTTTCCGTGAGGATGGTTACACCTCTAAGGTGTCTGAACTGTTGTTAGTGTGGTAGTAGTGTAAGATGGATTAGCAAGAGAAAATAACCAAATTTAATACATACATGACTGACGAGAAATGACCAAATGACATACATAAACGCAGGGACCCTGCAGACATGAGAGAATCAGAGACCCCACGTGCATGAGAGGTTCAAAGACAGAAAGAGAAAGTGTGGTATATGTGACATTCTGAGCTAAGGATGAGGTAAGGCACCTTGGGGGCTTCAAAAAGTCATTACAGGATAATAAGAAGGGCAAATGTTTAGTAATTATAAATTTGCCCTGCCCTATAGGTAGGTACAATGATTATCTCTGATAATCTCTTATTATGGGTAAGGCTCCTAATTTGAATTCTTCTAGATAGTTAAGTGGGGACAGAAGTCTCTCTTGAGCCCACAGTGTCCTGGTTGTCTCTTTCTCAAAATAATCCTCATATCACAGAGGCACATCTTGGGGTGACTTGTTCTGAGCCAACTGTATAAAGGGGTGAGATTCCTTTCTCTCTTTGCAATCCCTTATGGACAAAAAGGGGTTCTATGGAAGGTAACCTCACAGGGTGATCTGATCGTAAATTCCTAACTCAGCAGGTCGTGGCGGATAGTCACACACAGACATATAACTTCTTTAGCGAAAGATTTACCTTTGCCTTAAGCAAGCCCTGTCCATTGTTTTTGTGCATCTAGGGTAATACACCTTTGACATGAGAGGTAACCACCCCCACTTTTAACTATCATGTAATCCAATCCCACCTTTCTTTCTCCCACCTTCATGTAATCTTCCTTAAGTGTCCTCTTTAATTATTTCAAATGCATAAAAGAAACTGCAAAACTTATTTTCTGGAGCATTTGAGAAGTTGCTTCCTAGCAGTCATCAGTTTGGGCCCAAGTTAATTCTTATGAAAATTATCTACAGGTTTGGACATTCTTATGTTGACAAAGGCCACAGTCCTAGGTCTCCTTGGCTTGCCTCTCTCAGCTTGGAATCCTAGCCTCAAGAGCAAAGGTAGGGATTATGGGTGTCTAAGATAGAGCCTTGGTCTCATAAATGGGGGTTGCGTGAAAGAAGGAAGCCCCCACTCCTTGCACTCACCCAGAACTTAGCCTAAGCAACTGGTAGTTAAGGGCAGGATGAGAAATGTTGAAGTCCTGCCCTCCTGAGAGGACAGCCCAGAGAGTGGGAACTGGGGAGGGAAGAATTCCCATTCTTTTGGCTATGCCAGTCCCGTGGTGGGATTTTCTCTCTGAGCTGAAAGGAATGAGGAAGCCTGTCTTGGTTCAAACATCACAGACTTTTTTTTCTCATTGTGCTTTGGTAGATTTTCTTGAATAAATATTTCTTCATTTGCTGTGTGCCCTTACAACCGTTTCCAGAGACTTAAAAAATGAGTAAATAAATTTCACCAGCTTCTCTGTGGAGCAGATTCACAGAGCTATTTATACTGTCATGCCAGAAGTGGAACACGATATACATAAACCTTAAATATATTTTACTGTGTGAAAGAAGCCAGATACAAAATGCTCTATTTTAAATATTCCATTTATATGGCATACTAAAAAACGGAAAACTATAGGGATGAAAAAGAGATAAGTGGTTACCAGGCATTGAGTGTAAGAGGAGGTATTGACTACAAAGGGAAAATTTGGGGGTGTTAGAACTATTCTATATGGCACTGATGTGGGGAATGCACAGCTTTATACATTTATCAAAACCCACAGAATTGTACATTATAAAGATAAATTTTAAAAATTTTTAAAAAATTTTACAAAATTAGTCAGATTGTGGAGGCAACCCAAAAAAGCATGCAGACTGTGACAGATGAATGTAACTGTATTACAAATGAATCATATAACCACGCTAAAGGCAATGGGCAGGAAAGAAACTGAACTAATTCAGTTTGGAAAATAATGTTTTGACTGTATACTGTAAGACTAAAGACAAAAAGAACTACAGGAAAACATTACACTTCATTGGTAAGTTTGTTTCTCAATGAGTTATGGGTCAGCAATTCTGAAACTGTATGTATTCTCTCGGGTTGAACAAATTTATTATTAGTAAAAGAGCCAGCCTTCTCACTATTGGAGAGGGAAGTTACAACTGAGGAAAGGAGGAAGGCTAGAACGGACTCTATGGTGCTTAAAAAATAAACACACACAGAAATACAGAAATATTGCAAGAGGTCCCAAGGACCAAAGTTGAAACGATTTGAGCAACAAAATAATGATAGTATTGGATTATAATTCAAACAAAATAAATATTCATGAGTGCATATTGATATAACTAAACAATTTAATAGATAAATAAATACAAAAGAGACAACTCTTTCTTTCAGAAGAATTCCAATAAATAAATATAGAAGGGATAAAGGAAATAGAAAATAACCAGTAGAGAGTCTTGCTACAAGCAAGATCCACCAGTGAATACCAACATCAAAATGTGAAAGCTTAACAAGAAACAGGAAATTTGCATAGTCTCAAAATATGTAACTTATTAATTACAAAGGGAAAAATAGTAACTGGCAGTCATTACCTTGACCATGTGATCAAGAGTAATGTCACTGATAAGACTTCATATTGACTTCAGATGAGACACTGAGAAAAGCACATTACTACTCAGATATTCTTTCTTGAAATGCACAGCCTTAATTAAATCATGAGAAAACATCAGGCAAACCCAGTTTGAGGGACAGTCTACAAAATATCAGACTAGATCTCTTCAAAATTGCATAAGACAAGGAAAAAAGTAAGGAATTGTCACAGACTGGAGAATACAAAGGAGGTAGGACAAGTAAATGGAATATGGGGTCCTGGACTAGAAACTGAAATAGATAAAAAAAATAAACTTTAGGTGAAAAACTTGAACTCCAAATAAAGCATGTAGTTTAATAGTAATATATTATCATTAATTTCTTAGTTTTAATACTCGCACTATGGTTATATAAGAGGTTACCGTTAGTGAAAGCTGGGAGAACGGTATTTGCAAACTCTGTACTAATTTTTTTATTGTGGTAGAATGCACATATCATAAAACTAACCATTTAAACCATTTTAAAGTGTACAATTCAGTGACATTTAGTACATTTACTGTTATGCAATCATCACCAACTAGAGTTCCAGAATATATTTATCAAGCCAAAAAAGAACTCTGTAATATTTTTACAACTTCTATACATAGCTAAAAATTATTTCAAAATAAAAAGTAAAAATATTTAATACTCTTTATTATTAATTTTTTTCCAGTAAATTAGGAATATAAAGAAACTACTTCAGCCTGATAAAGTGCATCTATTAAAAATC